CAGATGGTCGGACGATTGCAAATATCTTTTGATGGAGAATTTGTGGTATACTTCACCGGTGCGAATGAGAAGACTAATCAGTGGTGCTGTTCCTTGAAGAATTCGGGTAGAATCTTCCTCCTGATACCGTGGGAAATAACGTCGAGATCTTGTAATCCAAATCCAAAGGATACGTTGTCAGTTCGCAATTTATTTCCACGCGACGTTCAGTCTGCCCTATACTATCAAGTAAATTCGACGAAAACTCGGAGAGCTGGGGATACGACTCAAATACCTTGAGCATAGACTGAGCTTTAAGTATACGTTTCAGTGGCACCTTTCGCCCAATCTTCATGGCCATTCGATGAAGCTCCGCACACAAATGCCCAGGCCGAACCTCCGCTCTGAATTTTTACCCAAAAGATAGTAGAGAAACGGAATGATCTCTCTCAGCCAGTCGTGGAGGCGGTGTCCCTGCGATTCTCCATGAAGCGCTTGGATGAGTATTTGTGTCCCTTGTTATCAATCGACTCCGTGAGCCTTGACTAGATAGCCCGTGAACCTCGGAAAGTTTGTCCTTTAAAGCAGCTTTACTTCAGTCCTGCAAGTATTACTGTAATGGCGACAATTTCATTGTCCGTGTACAGTTACATCTAGCGGACTGGCATGTGATCAATACGGTTTTCAAAAGCCTAACCTACTACTCCCATCAAATGAACAAGGAATAAACATTCGAAATTTCCTATTATGACCGATGCGTATTTTGCCTACCATTCTGAAATAGATCGGGTACCTCACTGAGCAAATGACACAGTAAACGCGAACTGAGTATCCTGCCTCGGAAATGGAGAAAGAAGCCAGCTTGCTACTCTACTGATGCCAAAAAATGCAAGCCGGCTTCTATCTCCATTTTCGAGGCAGGATACTCAGTTCGCACTTATTGTGTCGTTTTGTCAGTGATGTACCCGATCTTTTTAAGAATGGTTGGAATTTTATGTAATCTGATGGTTATAAAGTTTGTTTTGACACCCTAAAAACAGAATAGAGCATGACAGAAGTATTTCGGCAATATCTCAAATCACTCTTAGGAGGAGATGAGAAGGTCACCGTATTGAAGGCTTTCAGGATGGGCCGAATTAACGACTCGAAACATTAGTCAGACCGATCGAGAGCGCTAAAAATGTCTTCCAGAATGAGGAACAAGCGCAGTTACTGTTAAGCAAGAAATCCGCGCTCCAAAGTACCCACCCAACATTTTTTTCAGTGGTTTTTTGCCCGATCGAAGAGAGCTCAAATTGGAAGTCATCAAGGGGTCGAGTTTGGGAGAGTAAAGTCTCAGAATACTGAACGGGAACATCATACACTCCCTAAGGTCACTCATCTGGAGAAAGCTTATTGTAGCAGATCGCGTCTCCTCACCCTCCGCCTTTGTCATGCTGCCGTCCTGTCCGCCTCACACTCCATGTCGACACGCTGCTGGGCCGCGCGAGTGCTCGAAGCCAATCAACGCTGTCCCCACTCTGATTGGCTGGCGAGGTTGAGACAACGAAGGGCGCACACACACGCGGACACAACACCTCGAAGGCGGCCACATACAACAGCTTGCTAGGAGCGCGCTCGCGGCGACTGCCTACAGAGCCCTTGTGTACGCACTTTCTCAGGCAGTAAAGGTTGTCCAACTGACTTTTGATTGGGAATCTTTATTTTGTCGACCACACAACCTTCGACATTATAACCCCAATACCTTCGTTGTGAGGGACAGTAATCAGTCTCGATATGCTCAGGCCGGCTTTTGCATCCAATCCCATGAAATGGACAGATGCTCGAAGTCTAGTTTCGAAGATCGACGAACTCCGAGCGCAAATTTCAGAAGGAAAGTCCGATGCCCTCGCCATAACGGAAACATGGCCCAAAGTCGGAATCGTAAAAGCTGAGATTTCGATACGGGGTTACCGGGACCTTCGCAGAGACCGTCAAAATAGACGGAATGGTCGGGTATTTTTATATGTAAGGACGGGCATTTCGGCAGTTGAACAAGCCCACACCATCTCCCTTGAATGCGAATTCGCCTGAATAAAGATAAAGAAGATGAACTCACAGAACCTACAATTCCTGACGGCCTATAGACCACCGAAACTCCCGAGTGTAGGTGATGAGTAGCTCCTCCACTTAGTCAAGGGAGTGGACGGACGAGAAGAGGTTGTTAGGGCCGGAGATTTCAACGCACCTGCAATAGAGTTGGAAAGTATGGCAGTTGACGCCGTGCCAACTCCCTTCAGCATAGGCTAATGGACCTCGCACTCGACCTCCCTCTGGCACAAAATGCAAGGGCGCCAACATAATTTAAAAATAACCGGTAACGAATTGCCTAGACCTAGTTCTTACGAAAGACTCCTCTGATATGGACGAAGTGTATTCCTGTGCACCTCTCATGAAGAATGACCATAACACACTGTTTTGTGATTACTCGATCTTCTCTCAACGAAAGAAGAGAACAGAAGGCCAACCTTGTTTATGGAAGGCAGATTTTAACACAATGAAGAACGAATTGATGTCCGTGGACTGGGTTTGTTTGTTAAATCGGAATCCACTGAACGACTAGAGATAGTTTAGGACGATTTCACTCGATCTAATTCGGCTCTGCTTTCCAATGAAGCTACAAAAACGAATAGTTGACCTGCGTGGTTAACTAGGGACCTGAATAGACAATTACGAAAGAAAAGTAAAAGATGGAAGATATTCAAGGAAACTGGGCCACCAGTGCGCCTCGAGCAGTTTCGTCGTCAACAAACTGCAGTCAAAAAATGCATCCGTTAGGCACGAAAAGAGAATGAATCCAGAGTTATCCGACAGGCCAAAGAAAAGCTCAAGATTTTATTTTACTATATTAACAGTCCATTAAAAAAAACGAGGACCCGGTTGCAGTAATGAAGAATCAGAATGATAGAGGAATCATCGGAAACTACGAGGAAGCCGAACACATGAGACGGTACTTTGCTTCATTTTGCACTAGGGAACGGAGTTTTAAAGTCGCAATGCCAGCAACGCTGTTGAGACCACTGGTCCCGTGCTTGAATCCATACTCTTCCCGACATTTGTCGTGGAAAGAGAGCCGAAAATCTGAAAGAAGCCAAGTCATCGGGTCCGGACAATACACCGGTCAAATTCTTAAAACTGTCGGCAAATTAGCTCTCCAGACCACCAGCACACTTCGCAGAGGATGCACCATCATAGCCAGCGTATTGAGTAAATGAGTCAGTATATTCTTTTACTTGAGACTGAAGGTAACATTGAAAGGTCATATCCTGAAAATCGCGCAAGTTGGTATTAGTGCCAATCTTGTCTCTTCCCGCCGCCGCCGCGCTGTCCCGCGTGAGGATAAATTTCTATTTGGGTAGCATTGCGAAGCGCATGATGAGTCTGTATTCCAAGAAGGAGTTCGGAGCCTCAAACTCTACAGATTACCGCATGTACATTAGTAAGTACTAGTTTGCCAAAATTTTTATCGTCAGTATGCTCCCCTTTGTGCCGAAACTGATCCGTCCTAATGGTGGTTATTATCACGCGTCTCCATTTGTCTACTGAATTTCCTCTATCCCGGGCATAGGTTGGGAGCATCGAATGTGAGCGCTGTCGGCCGAAAACTGCATGATGCGCGAAACCAACACTCGACTGTCATTCCCCACATTTACACAAGGTCCAAGTTCCGGCCTAGGTTATTATGACAGTTGTCGTAGCGGAGGCCTCATAAACTCGTTTTCATTAATTCATCGATCTCAGGATGAGCTGAGAGGTTCAATGGGGCCCAACGAAGGCCGCGCTTACCTGGCATTGTTCTGTGTGACTTTTCTCAAAGGTCAGTCGTAGGTAGTAGTATTTGTCCAATAGCTGGAAAATTTTGCTGTCTGCGGGAGCCACAGTATGTGGCCAGACGCATCCAACGACCAACTTCTCTCCCATCCAGTTAATTCCCGAATAATTTATTTTTGAACACCCCTAATACCTTTTTACCTGTCCTAGGCAGAAAACATGTTTTCGGATGCCACAAGCACTATGGTGTCATTGACGTTGACACTGTCAACCAGTCAGGTCGTCTCGTCAGTGCTTCTGCCAGGGTACCTCAATACTCCCTTGTGGTTTGGTCACATTTTTTGGTCTCAGAATGCCCCAAATCTAGTCGTCCTCATAGTACGCCAAAGTTAACCAGGCAGGAGCCGCTGACTGACCTGTAATACGACCTACAAGGCCGAATACACAGACATGCATGCATAAATCGACTGTCCTGGTCGCAGCTATGTGATTCAGGGGTTGAGTACAGTGGCTGGTGGATATAGGACAGCATGTTTACGTATACTACAAAAGACCTTGTTACTTTGCAAACGACCATCCTGCCCCAGTTGTCAGAACCCAAAATCGAGCTTGTATTTTCTCCCTCAATGGCTGGAATTAAGTTACAGGTTTTGCGTCAATGACGAGACGTGTTCGGTGCTAATGCCAAGGCTTTTAGACTTATCCCCTGTTCGCTCACTTTGGATAATACTGGACGCACAAATCAAGGTTTCCTTTGTGTGGTTTTTCTTTCAAACAACTTTCGCTTGATCGACCATCGTCTTGGCGCTCCGCCTTAAAATTTAAGCGCTGAGGTCGAGTTGTTCGGAGTTTTTAATCTTACTTATAATTACTTAGCTGTTCCTGGAATTATTCACCTTTTCCGCTACCCTAGTGCTACAGGATCACCCAATTTCTCCGTTTCACGACATTCCACTCGTACACGGTCCCCCTGGCATCATGAACATGGTGGTTGAAATACCGCGTTGGTCGAATGCAAAAATGGAGATTTGCAAAGAGGAGCTCCTTAATCCAATTAAGCAGGACGTGAAAAAGGGGAAACTGCGGTTCGTCAACAACGTATTTCCCCACAAAGGTTACATTTGGAACTATGGTGCTTTGCCGCAAACCTGGGAAGATCCGTCCCACGTTGATCCCGATACCAAAGCGAAGGGTGACAATGATCCGATTGACGTTTGCGAGATTGGCTCCAGAATATTGGCTCGCGGCAGTATTGTACCTGTAAAAATTTTGGGCATCCTTGCCATGATTGACGAAGGTAATTTGCTACGTAGAGTACCACTGCTAATGATCTCTGCTCTTAAGTACTCTCTGCTTCATCAAGGTCGGTTCATCTAGGATATTCTTATGGAAGGCAAACACGGCCTAATACTTTGACTGAAAAATTTCAGGTGAAACGGACTGGAAAGTCATCGCCATCCACAATGAGGACCCCCTGGCTGCCAAGCTTAATGGTGTGTTTGACTAACTACTCCCCCGTTACTTTCATCCTTCTAGATATCGACGACGTTGAAACGCATATGCCCGGATTCTTGCAGGTGGGGATTCAGAATTTCTTGAATGTTTCTCGATTTGATCAAGTTCGCGCCGACATTAGAAAGATAGTTGGCCAACTTATTGGATTGACATGTCGCTCTTTCCTTTGTGTGCCGTGTAGTATATTATACGCCGTGTGGCGCAGAATACGTACTTAGCGACAGACTATCTCTTCCTCCCCGTTATTATCGTGTTAACTTGTCAAATTTAACAATCTGAATCAAAGCTCCTGTGAACCAGTGTGTACACCGGAAGTCTAACTTCACGGGCAGATGAGGTGAACATTAGCCTGGTCACAAGTTTCGCATCCTACCGGACCTTGGACTCAGATTGTCTGGTTAACACGGCAAAGTTTGAGGTTGGATTCACCTTCGGTATGTGACACCACACACTGGGACGCGTAATTTATCGAAGGTCTTGAATCACGTCTTCAGTCACTCGTCCAGTCTTCGTTTTTCTGACTGAGTATTTAAGGCCTTAGGGCGACGGTGGTGTGATCATTCGGCCTCCACATGATCTGGCAGATCTTGTGTAGTTTGCCGTAAGCGGGAGTGGCGGGGATCTCGTACTAAGGATGATTTTCAAGTAACGACGGTAAATTTTAATCGGTCTTTAAACTTTACAGGTACACAGAAGACCACTTTACGAACAGTCTTTAAATGAGCATTTTAGCGGCGATTCTGACGGAAGCTGCCAAGGACCGCTCATGCTGCGCAAGTCCGGTGGATAGCTTTCTCCGACTAATTTAGATTCAGCTGTCGTCGAGACTTGCGGAGGCAGTTTGCCTTCATCAATAATGCAGCCTGACAAAAGGAATTACTATTTGTGACTTTAGTTGTTGGGCCAACGCACTTAACGTCATCCCTCCCATTAGTGGTGACTTTATAGTTTGGTATGCTTGAAAGGCGGAAGGTGACTTCGTGAGCGTAATCGGGGCCGGCGAGCCCCGAAGCCGGGTGACATTGACATCTCGAAAACGCCGAAGTTCTCTATGCAGCAAGATAATGCAACGTTGCCGTAAACTAAAGTGGATGATGGTATCGTACGCCGAAGCTGGCGCATTAGTCGACTAGCAGTAAACCTGGATCAGGTCTATCAAAATTTAAGGCATGTCATCAGTCCACATGGTAACGTGACTATTCTCAGACTTGTTCATGCTTAAAGGTCAGTACTTCTCGTCCATTTTAAGCCTTATTCCCCTTTCGTTTTTTCTTTCTGACAGGCAACTCGCGAGTGGTTTAGAAACTATAAGGTGCCCACTGGAAAACCTAAAAACGAGTTTGCCTTTGATGGAAGCTACAAGAACAGGGTGAGTATTTTCCTTTTGCCCTTCTTCGGTTGCCGGCCATGCTATCCTGGTTCTGCTATAATTCCTCGCTGAAAGCACCCGATGGAGCTTTCCATTTACTGTAGTTCACCCATTCATCTTCTATGGATTGATATAACTTTGAAGTTGACAAGTTAGATGAGCATTGGTTCTCCTCGCTAACCCATATCCCGTTCCCGCTTTTTAGGAATTTGCCCTGAAGATCGTCAACCAGACTCACGAGCAATGGAAAAAACTTGTTACTGAAAAGACCGACTTTACTGGCCTTTACAAGTACGTTAACGAACATTGTTTAGTGCCATGAGTACGCGCCCCTATTTTATTCTTGCGGAAATTCATAGTATAGTATGACTGGCCGACGGTGGCCAATAAACCGAAAATGTCCATTCTAGTCTTCCTTGTCGTTGTCGGCAATGTTTCTGGCCTCTATTACGAGCAACTGTGCGGCCGCTGGTTGGGCTTCAGAGAGAGCCCCAAGGCACAGCGGAACGACGGAGTTCCGTAACAGGATCGGTGAGCGCCCCCTCTACCATTGTATTCAAGGATTGTAAGCGTCTACTATGTCAGGACCAGCAAACCATGGCCCTTGCGGCTTGACATGCGCTCGCAGTTTTACGACTCTTACTCCCCTATCGGTAGACGTGCATGTGCTACCGCTGCGTATACGGATCGCGACCATGGCTGCCCAGTCATCCGCGTCGTCTTTCTGACCCGTCGTGGTGCCGTCGTTTTTGTTAAAATCCTGGTCAAGTGTTTGTTGTGAACCAGGGGGTGTGGTGGTATGCCTAGGTGCGGTCCGGGCGTGCTATTAACCTGCACCCCCTCACATCCGGCCTTCTTGACTATGGACATCGGGCCCAGATGGTGAAGAGGAGAGAATGCGTAGATGCTGCGCAGGTCTACTCTTAATATGCAAGTCACCGTGTCTGCTCCACCTTGCTGTGAAAAACACGATGGACATCGTCCGGCATGACGGTCGAACTATCATCATTGTGTATTCCCGATTCCAACCGATTCCAACAACCCCGTGGCTCAGTGGTCAGGGGCGTTGGACTTCCAACCAACAGGTCGCGGGATCGATCCCCAGTTGTTCCACACCTCAGGGTTAGGCATCACTGGCCGACGACGACTAATAAGCCAGAAGTGGCCACTCTAGCCTCCTTTGTCTCTGTCAGTAATGTCAATTTGCCTAAAGTAAGAATTAAATAAGTCTGGTTAGGCGAGTATTCCTTTTCTGTTGATATATCTTTGGACCTTTGAATTGGTGTACGTAACTCACAATATGCTGTTGATGTCTGAAAATTAGAAACCCAAAGTGTGCATTTGTCGGGTCTGACACCAAGTGGTACACATGTTCTGCCTTTGCAAACCTAAGGATTCTAGTCGAGTGCCCTGCCACCTAAGCTTTGCCAGGACCGCTATCTCCCGGTTAAAGTGTTCTGGCCTTTGGTCTAGTATTCCTTATAGACTGCAAAATAAAAAGATCTGGCAACGTAATTAATTCAAAGACTACTAGAAGTCTAATCTGAGTTATTACACAAAAGTTCAACATAGTCTGTAGATGTGTAGGGAATGTCGCTTGCATCACGAACGTTTGTTTTAATGTACTTTCTTCTCTTGATGCAGTCTGCCGTTCCCTTTTGTACTCTTTGGCGTTCTTACTCCTCTGCCCCCTGTAGGGAGAACATTTCTGTCCAGGGCAGTCCGTATCAAATCCCAACTACCGAGGGCAAGAACTTGTTCAACAAACTTCCACCCTATGAGGAGGGCAAACCCATTTCCGATCCGACGGGTAAGTCCTTCGGATTACCACTTCTGTGCTTTTTTACAAGCACCTTTTCCTCGGGACTTGACGAAAGCCGCGGCACAAGTAGAACATCTCACACATGCATGCATCGCAAATGACATCTATTACCGCTGCGTGATTTTGATTACCCATGTCACTGTCGACATGCCAGCCAAGTGGACTTTAATGGCTACTGAATGAATTACTATCCTCTTATTAACCTCTCACAAAAAACCGCCTTTCGAGGGCCAAATACGAGAGCGAGGTTTAGAACACAATTCCATTGGGAGGGGGGGGGGAAGGGCAGAAGGATTTACTTTGGCAAGTATACCTTAAGGCGGTTCTAACACACAAACACCCAATACGGCCATTGATTTTCAGCCTATTTTTCTATGCAGCGTACTGGGTTTTAAAGGTTTTCCTACATGCCCCATTCTTTTTCTTAATTTTAGTGGAAGAGGTATGCTTTGTCTGATTCGTGGAATGCACCGACGGGCCTCTTGAAATCTTCTTCGGCGCCGACTTTTTCCTATTGCCTGTCCAGTGGGGGATACTGTTTGTTTTTCCTAATATCATGCCTAGTTGAAAGATTCATTCCTGTTCGTTATTGATATGCTGTCTTCGAGGCAGCAGTTTGTTTGCCTACGCGCGTTGTTCTGTATTGAAAATTACAATCAACGCCAGAGGGCACGGAGGAACGTGGGTTCTTTGACGGTTGTTCAAGATGTAACTGCTGCTGTCTATTTAAGCATTAAGTATTGCGCTGGGTCACGGGCTGACGAGGAACAACGGGGCGGAACGAGTTGAGAAGCCGGCTAGAATATAGGCACTTACGAACTCTTTAAGGCATCTCGATACTGAAAGTGCATCGCTTGTCGATCTGCATCCAGCAGTGGCAGAAAATTGTCACTCTTGCAGAATAGTAGATCCGACCACATGACTCGTGTGTAGGCCAGACAGCTGGCATACTCTCGTCCGTTCAGAAACTTCCGATTCTGAAGTCACTTATCCATGTCTTTGTTTAGAGGCTGACTAGTAAGAACACGCCAGTTGGGTAATCAGCATAGTTCTCGAATACTGCTCTGGTTTTCAGAAGCCCACTACACAACAACTAGCGGTATAACAACTGTTGCATGTAAAAGGGTCTCAGTATCCTGGTGTTTTACACGCGCATCGTTTGGTTTTCCCTATGAATCCGTAGTATTTCAAGTACTTTGCAACTGAGACTCTGACCAACATACCTACTCGATGTCTTGGGTTAGCCCGTGATGGTTGTCTTGGAATAGATCAAGATGGTCTACACGTGCTCCGGCGTGGTTTGTCCAACTACCTTCTAGCTCTGCCTTGGTCAACTCGACACTAGTCGCTGATTGCCGTATGTTTTCATCGTAGATTGTGGCTAGGAGAAGCAGGCGTCTATTTCCTGGCAGAACTGGGGGTTGTGCTCATGGAGCGAGGTCCAGCGTGACTTCTGGCGGGACTTTCGCACAATGCGTGCCAGACGTTGGCTCCAAGGATCACGTTTCTCCCTTGAGTCCCTTATTCTGTTAGCAAGGGCGCCTAGGGACTAAAAATTGCGCAAGAATGTGTACTGCTAACTTGGCGTATTCCTTCTGCTGCGTTACACGGAATACAGCACCCGTAACTCGTTTCTCTGCATCTAAAGTCGAGCATGGGTTCTTTGGGAAGGGTGAAGACAACGTAGAGACATCACGGACTTTCCAACTCAGGCGACTGCCTCCGTCTTGCGGTTCAAACGCTGTTTTGATTCTGCTGACAGGACATTTCCTGGATTTCCAGGTCGAGTTAGGTTAACCGAGTACAACGGCTGCGAGAATGCGGGGAGGCAAAAGATGGTTAGTGCTTGGTGAGACAGTTTAAGCCTTTCTGGAGTTCTTTAGAGGATTTTGTCTGTAGGTAGGGAAGGACTGGCTAAGCGGTGTCAGCGTGAACTGAGAAAAATCGGTTGTAGATGGCAGGCTGCAATATGGAGCCTTGGTCATGGTCTGAGACGGTGCACCGACAGAAGAATGAACCGTTACCTTTGCTATGCACCGTTGTCTAGATCGCACTCCAAGGGTTATGGGATGCAAAGCGAACTAGCGGAAGACTCGCAGTTGCCATCATCCGTTGTCTACGGGAGCCGTCGGCGCCTCAGTTCACCTTCGTCGCCTACACATTCCTAATCAATGTACACCTGCCCGCGTGCGGTATTCGCTGTTCATGGGTTCGACGAGTGCGGTTTGAAGGCGCCTCCACAGTCCGCCCTAAGATGCCACAAATACTGCCTTGTGATTTTTATTGTGCAATCGTCCGCTGACCTTGCAGACGACTTCGTGCGTCGGATGCTAAGCACATGTCCACCTGGTCAGTAGTTTATATTAACCATCGGCCGCCTCTTTCGGTAGGCGTTCATTTTAGCATTGCGGACGATATGAGAGTGAAAAGGATGGGAGCGAGTACGAAGTCGTGCTCCACCGCATTTTGCACCACAAATACCTCTGGGGCTGACTCGTTGTCCGCAATGGGCGTCGTCATCCCGTCGGGCATAGTTCCAGACGCAAAAAATGCAACGTGATTTTCCAGAGCCCGTCGCAGCTCATCGCTTCTAAAGCCTAGGGTCGTGATCAAAAATAGTGCCGGCGTCACCCTTTAATGCTAATTGATGGAGCCTAAGAAACCATTTACGCGACATGCCGCAGTTTATTGAATCTGCCTTTGTTGCGTGTAAAGAATTTGGCAGCGAAACATGAAGATTCTCACAAACGTGGTTACCGAACGCACATTCGCAGTTTGGTAGGATGACGGCAAATAATGCATTGTGACCAGACTCAATGATTAAAGGCTCGAAGATAAACAAATACCCAAGTCCTGAGTTGCTTGAATCATAATTCACTGACCCGGAGTGAACCAATGAAATTAGCACAATTCCTCGACCAGTAGAGTTTAAGGAATACCTGGGGAATAGACAATTCGGTCGTATTTGCTGACGACATCCATGGTGCGTCCTGATGCTAGGCGAGATTAGAGACGGTGACTAGCACGTCAATTCGTTTATGGTGATAGTAGATTTTCCCTGCATGTATCTCACTCTCTCCTCCCTCCTCACCTGGAAGTGGTGTTAGGACCGAGTCGAGAAGATCGGAGGTGGGAGAGGGTGCGGGTGACTGACACGGCGAAAAGCCACACCAAGGTGTACTACCACACCCCCTGGTAACTAAAAGGTAATTTTATCAACTTCTATGTCTCACTGTCTCTGATTATGCTGCAAATCGGGAATCTGACGAGTCAAAATAGAAGACTCAGATTTCAACGATTGCGGCACTATTAGTTTATTATCAAAATGGACTTTGCATGCATGGGCAGCATAATAGTTAACTCTTGCCCAAGTCTAGCCATTAGCAGAACTACAACACAGCTGCCGTCCGTAATACTGATAGTGAAGACAGTCAACGATTAGCATTTGGTTGCACATGATAACCAGCTTCGCGCTTGGTGCGCACACGGTCTGCGCCGTTTTTGTGCAATCACAAGCCCAGAACAGTCTGGCTACACGCCCGAGCAACAAAAGGTACCCTGTTATGCCGCACTACAAAGTCGAATATTTCGGAAAGCCGTGATAGGAGTACACTTACAGTGTGTGAAATAGTCGGTAACACAAAGGTAAATCACCCTCGATAGTTACATTTCGTGAAGATAAAAGCATAACCTACACCGAGACCTTCATGTTTACGTTAGAGAACACAGAAGTGCATAGGTACTTCTGAAACTAAGATGTCAAGAGACAAAGTTAACGGTATTTCACGGGTGGTTAAGTAGCACACCAACGTACTGACGAAGTCCGCCAGTTAAATGTCGTCCTTGAGAAAGCACGCCCCTATTATTCTTCTCCACATCTTATGCTAATAACATTTTAAATATAACGTTTGCTCTGGGCTCAAATGTCATCCATTGCAGAAAACTCACCAGCGTCTGCGGGACACGAACGTGCGACAACAAGACCAAGGCTTGGGTACAGTCGGCGCTCTAACCACCTGAGCTCCGGCCGAGATCCGTGAACTTAATCGCACTCCGGATTTCATGGCTTTATTCTACCGCGGATTTTGTATGCAAGCGTACCACCACACCCTCTAGTTCACAACTTACTCTGACGAGGATTTTTACACCAAAGCAAAAGTAGGGGGCGACACAAATCCCAAGTGGCGCGACGTCATCCTGCAACTGGACATGTCATCATATCACAGTGTTAGTATTTAATATGGGTGCACATTTCCGGTAATTGTCTATGCGGCCGGGACCACGAAACAATGCAGTGCTGCCTAAGGTGTCGTGTCGGTGATATACTCAAATACAGTGAAGGTAAGGCAACGGCGATTTGGCCGTCAGGACCTGCAATGGGATGTGAAAAACACCACGAAAGACAGCACTGATGGGAAAACTATCGAACATGGGGTGAATGGCGTTTGTGCAATTCGTTAGCAGTAAACTCAGGATCTACTGCCTACCGACCACTGCACTCTCAAATCCGATTAACTGCAGTGAGAAACTTGGGTTCATGTCCCGACTCTCCTCAACGCTGGATGAAACGGCTACTAGTGAGGCAGAAATGGCCAAGCAAACCCGCCGCTTCAGCACACGAATTGCGTTTACCAACGTCAGAGGCGATTCGCGCTGCGGTCAAACCAGGTCGATGAACGCAACTTGAGCTCCAGAAAAGCGACGTCGTTCTTCCAGTAATTTGTATAAGGCATCATCCTCCCTTGTGTGTGTGTAATCGTGGTGAGCATTTGGGAGGACACGTCGCGCTTGTAGCACGCACAGACGAGCTTTCTGGATGTGTCAGCTATTACGCCCGCTTCCCACATCAGGCAACTGACTGGCTCGGACAGTGAATTGGTGCTTGGCAGTGGGAAGAGAGAGCGAGGCAGACGACTTAGCGCATTTTCCTCACTGTGAACACTCTGATGCACTTGAAGCTATCACAGTGCGCTAAAAAACATGGCTTGAAAGGCTACCTACTGACAGAATAACTCGGACCTTGCAGTCCGCCCACTGTGTGTTTGTGTGGAGTGACCGACTGGTGGACTCAGAGTGAGGCTGCAAGGGCTCCTTCTTAATGTAGTCTCCATGGCACTGCCAACGTAGTGGGATACGAACCGGGTGCGGCGGCACGCCTAGGGGCGGCCTCGGCCGCGCCAGCCACCTGTGGCCTGTCCCACCTCCGGTCTTCTCGACTTGGTCATGACATATGGTCCAGGTGGGCGGGAGATAGAGTGAGGCGAATGCTGCGTAAGTCTAATATCACTACAGACTAATTAACGCACAAGTCATCGTCACTGTTCCCTCTGCTGTGAGGCACAAGGTGGACATCGTTGAAATCGGTGGTCGGTCTTCCAGGTAGCAAGTCCCGGGCACAACACTAAGTGCCAGTCGCGATAAAAAGATATGCGAGGAAGATTGACCTTTGGCTACAGT